AAAAAAAAAAAAACGTAAACAACAATACAAGACGACGTGTATGTATATAAAGTATTACACAAAGGAGAAGCAAGAAATTATTAATATATTTCCCGCGAGAAGTGAGAGGGAACCGGCCCAGTCATAAGTTGGAACAATTCTCGCAAGAAACCGCGGGAAACGTGACGTTTTCGAGTAGTTTGCCAGCTCGCCTGTTGAGAGCTACGAAATTACGAGAGCCGCGAGATCCGGAGCCGGGCTCGGCTTACGTCTCATTTTCCTAAAACGAATGGTCGCGCCGGAAACCGGTAGTCGGAGGAGAGGGACAGGGAAATCCGGCAGTCGGCTCGCAGCTGGCACTCGCAAACGATCGGCGAGAAGAAAGATCACCGTCAGCGGCAATTATTTACCAACGAAAATCCAGCGCCCGGGACCCTGTTTAATTAGTCACGCGGCCGGTCTAAACAGCTTTTAATAATAGGAAGTCCTGGCCGGTCGCTAACGACGCTATACGTTAACGCCACGAGCTGAACGAGCTCGCAGAGAGAAAACGCGTTTCAGCCTTTTTTTCACGTTTCATTTCCTACACACCCTTCCGTTGTTCCGTTGGTCGGTTCGCTTTCCCTTTCGCTCGAACTCGCAGTTGTCTGTTCTCTCTGCCCTCGTTGATTTCCACTGCCGCTTTGTTTCGCGCAACACCCGCGATGAGAATAGTATCCCTGCTTTGGAGCGTGCTGATAAATATTTTCTTTTTTTCTCTCTCTCTTCTTCTTCTCTCTTTTTTTTTTTTTTTTTTGTTTTTTCATTCCATTGTCCGACGAAGACGAATTTATTGCCGCTCGTCGAAACGAAGAATATCAGTATATAAGATGAGAAAATCGAGCGAGAAGCAAGCTGGGTTTATTGAAATGAAACAACGTGTCAAAGGGTGAAAATTTGTGCAGATGTAGATGGCAAATTTCGAGTATTGGGAACGAAACGAAAAAAAGAGCAGTCGGAGTCTGAATTTGATTTGCTGGTTAAACTTCGATCGATTGTGGAATAATTGGAAATAAAAAGTTGCGCTTGTTTGAAAGATGTAATAAATCGGGAACACGATTCGCGATGAAGCGAAACTTCGAGGATTATAATAAATTTCATTACACTTTGGTTCATCGGTAAACAAATACATATAAACATTTTTATAACACTTTTGACTAAATCTGTAAAACATTAACCCTCTGTAGCATGCGTAACTTTTCCAGTTATATATTCGTACTAACTTTGGTAAATGAATCTGAAAGATTCATCGAAATTTAAATTTATTCGAATTCAAATATAACATGAATTTTTAAATTTCACTGCATATCATTAAATCACATTCAATTTATAGCTACAAATTTTCATGGATCAACTAGCTAAGTAAATAAACGTGTGTGAATAAATCCTCAAAAATAGTTGAACGACAACTGTATATGGATTTCCCCTCTTAAATGACTGACGTCGCTGCATTATTCTCAATTTAATGATTTATTTAAACCGGAATATCAGAGATCTGTCATTTTTAATCCCACATCTCGCGAAAATTCCTGATATAAATCCTCCGTCATGCTGAAAGTTTCATAGGCAAAGCTTAAATTCAACGTTTGCCTAATTCGACACTGAGGAAGCAAGCTGAATTTTAAGACATTGCAAGTAACCGCGTCTGTTGCGCGCTAAATTTCTTAATCGCGTTTGCTTCGCCGTCGAAAACGAAATTGCCGTAATTTTCCATTAAATCTGTCTATTATCGCGAGAAAATTTGCCGCGGTTTCAAAGATTGACTTGATGCAATTTTAGCTATCAGAGTAACGTCTGCTAAAAGATTAACACGGTTGTCACGGTGGTCGTCACTAGTGATTAACGTCTCTACTTCTATTAAAAATTTTAGAACGACTATAAAAAGATATGAATATCGTCGACAAAAGGAAATCAACGTTAAATAACTAGATAATATTATGGAGTAAAAGACATTCAATTGAGAATACAATCTTAAACTAATTGAGTATTGATTGAGCGATTAGTGTGTTTAAATAATGTTAAGTTTGTTGCACACTTTTTTTCTGAATCTCTTAATAATTTCATATTTTGTTCCAATGTACTTATTTAATGACATTATTACAGTATTGTGATCACGTCGAATGCAGATACCAGATACGTTGAAACATCGCGAAGATTTTATTATATTCCTTTTTATTGGCAAAGTGTATAATCGGCAATCAACGTGTTCATCTTTGTCTCTAAACAACCTAAACCATGTTTCCTACCAACAACAATCAATTCGTAATAATTGTTAACTTTTACGAAAAAAAAACCCATATTAGAAAAAGAGAAACCACGTCTATGGAAAATTTTGAAACGCACAATGTACTACTTTTAATAAAACTTTTGGTACGTGAAATAATTTTCCTATCGAAGTTCCATTTTTTTTTTTTAAATCACAAACTCGCAACAAAAATCCGCGGTCTGCTATCTGAATAAGATTGCAATGTATACGTATATTTTATACTTGTAGAAACGTTAGAGGCAACGAGTCGCTGAACGTTTCTAGGACTATCCATCGTTCGAAGGTTAAAGAAAGAGCTCACCTGAATGGTAACGGGAATCGGTCACGATCGATTCTTGAACACAGACCGGCTCCTTGCCGTTCCATCGATCGCCGGTCATGCAATACCTCGTGTGCGGTCCCTCTAGCCTGTAACCTCTTCGACATCGTATATGACATCTAGCTCCAACAGGATAATCCACCACCCCGGAAGAATGACCCGGACATCTGATCTGCAATAAGAGGAAAACGCCGAAAATATTACAATACGTCCGCAGGAGCAGAAACTTTGAAGAATATTGTTCCGAGGCGTACTGGGGGATTTCGAGCGATATAATACGATATTGAAACGACGGTATCAAAGATTTGATTATATTTCGTTATTATGTTTCCTTTGGCTGGGGTCAGCAATGGGCATTTAAACATGGAAATTTAAAAATGAAAGGAACATACTGATTTTAATTATTTTGTAGCTTTGCATACTAGATTAACACGCTTTTGTTCTGTTGTTCTGAATTTTCGTAAAATTCTAAAGTACGTAGTTAATTTTACAATTTAGATAGAAATTAAAATTGTGTTGGAAATCATTTATATTATATTGTACAATCTTACGTGAAATATATCTCATTGAATTATGTTTCCCTTGCATACAAAATTCATACGTTCTCACAACAAATTTCTACACTTTTTCTAGTATTTTATTTGAAAGGATAATTTAATCGTCAGAGTCAATTTATTATCAATAATTAAAAATCAATAAATCATGTATTCAGGATTTTTTTATAATATTAAGTGTTGTTTAGATGGGGTGACGAAGATAATATTTAAAAAAATATTCTTCGATAAATAAAGTTGGTTAAAGTTAAACATTAAATTAAATAGCAAATAGCAAATATTCTGACTAAAATTTGACGGTAAGCATTCTGATGTACGAGAACGTGTTTCCTTGCTACGATTAAAATATTTCTCTCGGAATAACAGAATATTCCTTTGTCCCAGCGATGTTTTGCATTTTTCTGCGAAAATTTTCAAAAGAACCTTTAGAAACTGGAATATCTCGAATAACTTTTTCTCTTGTTCCTTTTTCTTTTTTATCACTGCCCACATATCAATATTTTAAAAACAACAGAAAAATTCGTGTTCAAATTCCTTTAATAAAAAAGAATTATCTTTTGTATCACTTAAAAAAAAAAAAAAAAAAAAAA